TCCCAATTCCCCCAACTCCTTCCAGATCCTCCCTCAATACCGCAGTCCCCTAATTTCATGTCCTCTCTGTCACCATGCTTTCCATCCCTCATACCCCCCCCCATTGGGGCATGAAGACCCACTCAAACATAGGTGGGACCATTCGATGAGCTGGGCTAGCAGACTTTGATAAAAAAGGAAAAGGCAAGCTGAGGACCAGAGTTCCCCTCCCTCTGCTTCCTGACTACGGATGTAGCAAGAGCACAGCATCCAGCTCCTGCTGCCGTGAAGTCCTCATCAATGTGCATTTGAATTGTGAGCCAAAGGAAACTCCTCCTTCCTGAAGTGCCTTATTTACTTATTTTTGTTTGTTTGTTTTTTGTTTTTTGTTTTGTTTTTTGAAACAGAATTTTTCTGTGTAGCTTTGGAGCCTATCTTGGCACTTGCTCTGGAGACCAGGCTGGCCTCGAACTCACAGAGATCCGCCTGCCTCTGCCTCCCGAGTGCTGGCATTAAAGGTGTGTGCCACCAACGCCTGGCTGCCTTATTTATTTTTGGTACTTTGTAATGGCAACACAAAAAGCAGTAAGTACGAGGGGCAGAAGCACAGCAGGCTGGTAAATGGTCCCTTGCAAAGAAGTCTGAAGGATCTAGCCTCTAGGTGACTATAGGACCATAGCTGTGATCTCTTTTCAGCATTTTCTCCCAAGTCTCACCTGAAGACAGGGAATGATTTTTTGTTTGTTTTTTTGTTTTGTTTTTTGCGATAGGGTTTCTCTTGTGTAGCTTTGAACTAGCTCTTGTAGACCAGGCTGGTCTCGAACTTACAGAAATCTACCTGCCTCTGCTTCCTAAGTGCTGGGATTAAACACATGCATCACAACTGCCACCTGGCCAGGGAATGATTTTAAAACATACACATGAAGAATTATTAAGGATGATATTCTGTGTTGGGAAATTCTGTTTTATGAAGTTTCTTTTAAACACGTATTCTATATTTACTGATGGAATGCCTGTGGTCTATACACGTGAATGTAGTTGTAGTTAAACACATTTATAATTGAATCCAAATAATTTGGTGTCTTGGTTAGGGTTTCTATTGCTGTGATGAAGCACTATGACCAACAAGCAAGTTGGGGAGGAAAAGGTTTATTTGGGTTACACTTCCACACTGCTGCTCATCACTGAAGGAAGTCAGGATAGGAGCTCAAGCTGGTAGGAACTTGGACGTAGGAGCAGAGGCCATGGAGAGGCACCTGCTCCTCATGACTTGCTCAGCCTGCTTTCTTATAGAACCCAGGACCACCACCTACAGTGGATTGGGTCATCTTCTATTAGTTTCTAATTAAGAAAATGCCTTACAGTTGAATCTTATGGAGGCCACTTCTCCAATGAGGTTTCCTCCTTTCAGATAACTCTTGTGTGTCAAGTTGACATAAGACTAGCCAGCACACTTGGAAAATAGGATTTTTATGAGAAAGAATCAAGTGTTTGCTATTCTGCAATGTTACATTAATTCATAATGCCAACATTGAAGACAAAAACCAACACTAAATGCTCAACATTCCTTTTCAAATGCTTATTATGCTGCTATCTTTACAGCTATTACCATAACATGTTTTTCTAAATTAAATGCTTATTTTTACTTAATTTGCACAATTAGGCTGAAAAATCAATGCTTTAACCACACCATGAAAAGACTGTTAGCCAGTGTATACTTACTCAGCTGTTGAAATTCAAATTAAAACCAATATCTCTCTATTTTCTTCCTTATTTCTCTTTTTCTCATTTTTCTCTCCTTTCCTTCCTTCATTTCTTCCAAGATTATATGGTGTGAACTGGAAGCTCTAATTAAGGTGTACACAATTTGAATGTATAACCCCTAAATTCAGGCTTCTGTAGCCAGCCACCTGCTTAGTAGGTTCCATGTGATCCAGGTGACTTATGATCACACATGGCTGGAAGAAGCAGCCAACACGTTTTCAACATTTGGGGTGTGTGTGTGTGTGTGTGTGTGTGTGTGTGTGCACAAGCACATTTGTGGATATGTGTGTGTAAGTGTGGGTACATACATGCTGCAGGACATGTGTGTAGAGGTCAAAGGAACCTCTGCAGCCGGTTCTCACCTTGCTTCTTGTTGAGATAGGGTCTTTCTTGTTGTTTCTGCTTTGCTGTAAGGGCCAGGCTAGCTGGCCGGCAAATGTCAGTCTCCGGTCTCTGCCTCCCATTTTGCCGTAGGAGTTCTGGGCTTACTGACGCCTGCCATTGTATCTGGCTTTAAAAGAAAAACCAACCAACCAACCAAACAAACAAACAAACAAAAAAACCAAAAAACCCAAACCAAACCAACAAACACAACAAAGCAATACAAGAAAAAAGAAAAGAAGAAGAATCTTGTCTGCTCTGACCTGTGAGGCATGCATTTCACTCCTTTGTCTTTTCATCGTCATTTGCAAGTGTTCCTTGCCAGGATTCAATCATTCTGGTTGAGGCCTCTGTCACACCATCGCCAATGGGCTCATACCAGGGCTCTTCCCCAGACATCCCACCGTAGTCCTGTGTCATCCTGCAGCTTTGCATCTGTAGGTTTGTCCCCTTTTCATAATCTAACAGGTCATAGATGAGGTGAATGTCGGGGTGGTCCCATCCTGTGCCTGGGTGGCAGCTGGACAGGTCAGCCCACCAGCTTTCTCCCATTGTCACCACCCAGGTGCACTCCCCAGCACTGCCTTGGTCAGCCTACCCAACACAGCCTACAGAAAGGAGAGGGGCCAGTTCTCCTGCCCTTGGACAGCTCACTCACACTGGCACCACCAGGGCCAGGTCCACTTTCTTGCCCAGGCAAGAGACAAGAGAGGTGCATGGCCCTCTCTCCCAATTGTTGTAGGGAGCACAGTGGGGAGGGGTCAGGTCTCCTGTTGTCATGCCCTCAGGCAGGTTTACCTTCACCCCTGACAATAGGGTCAGCTCTAGTGTACTGCCCAGGCTGAATGCAGGGTTTGTTCTCAGGTGTGCTGCAGCCAGAGAGGGACAGGGCTAGTTCTCCAACTCCTGTGATCCCAGGGTCAGCTCTCTTATCCGAAGCAGGTAGCAAGGGGCAGGGGTGAGGTGGGGAGGGCATCTTTCCCTCACCCATGACACCACATGGCAAAAGAGGAGGAGTGGGGTCAGCTCTGCTGCTCTCACTCCCTCAGGGCCAGTTCACTTGTGTCTCCAACAACAGGCACAGCTCTAGTGTGCTGCCCAGGTGAGTTTCTTGTCAGTAGTGAGGGGTGGGGCTATCTTTTCTGAGGTCGTGGGTCAGCTCTCCTGCTGCAGTATCCACTGAAGGGCAGGGCCAGTGAGAGGCAAGTCCAGCTCAGCACGGCCCTTGGATTTCAACACGTGCGGTCCCTACAATCCTTTGTGGTAACACAGGCCATGGACATCAACACAGACCCCAGATGCAGCAGAACCATGGACCCAGACATTGCCCTCAACAGCAGCTCATCCCGGATGCCTCCATGGTCCCGTAGCAGCCCAGGCCACCTAGATCAGTATGGTCTTGGTGGCAGGATGGCACTCAGACACCAACACAGTCTCAGGTGGCTGACTAGACCCTGGGTATCTGCACAGCCCTTGGTGATGACAGGAGTCTTGGACATCACCCCCAGACCCTGACCACTGCAGGGCCATAGACCCAGACATGGCTCTAGATAGCATCCTGGATTCAGATGTCTCCATGGCCCCAGGTGGCAGCTCAGGGCCCCCAGATCAGCATGGCCCTAGCAGCAGCATGGCCCTTGGACACAAACATGGTCTCAGGTGATCGATCAGACCCCAGACACACATGTCAAACTAGACCCTGGCTGATGTAGCACCATGGACCCAGACACGATCCTCTGCAGCAGTGCTGGAATGGACAACAACATGGCCCCAGGTGACAGTGCTGGCCATTCAGATCAGCCTAGTCCTGATGGAGGCATGGCCCTCAGGCACCAGCTTAGCTATAGATTGTGGTAGGACCATGGATCTAGACATGGTCCTAGGAAGGAGCTTGGGCTCAGGTGTCACCGTGGCTCTAGGTGACAGTGCTGGTCATTCAAATCGACTTGTCACCACCAGCAGCAGCACAGCCCTCTAACACCACCATGTTCATAGGTTGTGGCCTAGATTCTGGGCTTCTGTGGAGCCTTTGGTGGCAACATGGGTCACTGGACATCAACACACACCCTGGGAGTGGTAGGACCACGAACCCAGACATGGTCCTTGGTGGGTAGCTACCTAGGCCCAGATGTCATCATGGCCCGGGTGGCAGAGCACGCCACTCAGATTGGCATGGCCCCTACAGCAGTGTGGCCCTTGGACACCAACATGGCTCCAGGTGGTGGCCCAGACTATAGATCTCTGCATGGCCCTCAGTGGTGACAGGAACCATAGACTTCATCATAGGTCCCCTTGGCTCTTGGCTATAATCACCTTGGACTTGGGTGGCAAGTAGGCCATTCATGCTGGCCCATTCCTAAACACCCTCACCTCTTCAGATCTGTCTCTCTTCCCAGCCCATGAACCCACCCCCCTCTGTTTCTTCTACCTCCTGGCCCTGTACTTACTTGCCATAATGGGGCCTTACTGGCTGGTATCAGGCACCATATGGGCTCCTAGTTGGCATAGAACTGTATCCATAGTCTTCTCACAAGCCTGGGACAGCAAGTGTCCTTAACCATCGAGCCAACTCTCCAGTCCTCCACACATTTTTACATTCTTTCCTTGGGCCCAATTTGCTGTAATAAATACAACTCCTCCTTATCCACATCAATGGTCATTTACCCAAGCTTACTATTTTATCACCTGTAGTTCTTGGTTTATTGATTCTTCCCCCTCGGGCTGAGAACCAAATAAAAATGTTTCCTGACAACTCTTCAAGTCCATAGACCACTTGTCATTTCCTTACTCTGGCTCTCCTTATGGCCCCAACAAGCAAATCCTTACTCCGTAATTTTAGTTAAAACCATTAATTACAGAATACACATACACAGATCTTAACACATCAATTATAATTCTTTTAGGTTGCATCCAATAAAACACAGAAGTAAACAAGTTTCCAGCCTTACACACAAATCTGGAATTTTAAAGAACACAGTGATCCTCTCATTTCACCCGCATTTGTTGAGACTTTATGTCACTGTGACCTGCTTCTTTATCTTGTTTTGGCAAATGTTTTTTATTTCTTGCTTCTGTTGGTAGAATGTGCTAGGCCAGGTAGTCCTTTCTGGGGAAGAACAGAAGATGAGAATCTGTTAGCTAACACTCCACTGATACCTGGCAAAGCCACCTAGGAAGTTTTGCGTCAGTTGGACTTTCTCTACACTCTTCTCTTGAAAACAAACCAGGAAATTCTGTATAATTTTCCAAAGCCAGAGGTGAAGTCAGCATCAATGTTGGTTGGTTTGCTTTGTTTTTCTGTGGTGCTGGGGATTGAGGACAGGTCCTTTGCCAATGCTAGGCAATCATTTTACTGACAATCCTTAGACCTCAGCCACACCCAGAGGCCCTCAGGTCTTACTAAACTTATGTGGATCAGAATTTTCCTGTTTTCCAAGAATTTAGACTCCATCTCTGGTCCTGACAAAAATGTGCAAGAATTAACCCATGTTTCGAAGAGGGGCTCTCAACACATGCACAGGCCTTACTGCAACAGAGAGAGGAGTTCCCAAAATATGTACACATCTTAATAGAGGTTTTTGTTTTGTTTTGTTTTGTTTTTCAAGACAGGGTTTCTCTGTGTAGCCTCAGCTGTTCTGGCACTCACTCTCACTCACTCTGTAGATCTGGCTGGCCTTGAACTCACAGAGATCCACCTGCTTCTGCCTCCCAAGTGCTGGGATTAAAGGTATGTGCCACTACTGCCTGGCTAAGAACGCAACTTTGATGACCAGGTATTGATTAGTTTTATGTCAAACTGGACACAAGCTAGTCGTTAGGGAAGAGGGACTCAGTTGGGAAATTGCTTCATAAGATTGTCCAAGTCTATTGGGTATTGTCTTGGTTAGTGATTGATGTGAGAGGGTCCATCCCACTGTTCAACCCTTAGAGTCCAGGCGATCCCTTCAAACTCACTTGCCTCCTGTAGTAACCCAAATGCAGACCAGAAGGCATCTCGAAAGGAGGAGAAGTCCAGCATCTGATACAGGCAGTGCAACCTGTGGTCAGGTTGTTCCTGGGTGTATGAGAAAGCAAACCAAGCAAGCCAGGAGAAGCACATCAGTAAGCAACATTCCTTCCATTCCTTCCTTCGTGGCCTTTGCTTCAGTTCCTGATCCTAGGTTCCTGCCATGACTTCCCTCATCGATGGAGTGTGGCCTGAGAGCTTTAAGGTACACTAAACCCTTTCTTCCCCAAATTGCTTTTAGTTATGGTGTTTTTTTCAATCACAGCAATAGAAATCTAAGACAGAAGGCAACCACCATTCTAAACAACACACAGCAGGAAAGACCTGAAATTCATTAGGGCAGATGCATTTTTAAAATTTTTTAAAACAATCTTATTTTACATACCAATCCCAGTTCCCTCTCCTTCCTGTCCTCCCCCTTCCCCTACATTCTCCCTACTGGCCATCGGGGTGAGGCCTCCCCTGGGGAGTCAGCAAAGTCTGTCACATTACTTGAGGCCCTCTCCCTTGTATCTAGGATGAGCAAGGTATCCCTCCAGAGGGAATGGGCTCCAAAAAGCCAGTTCATGCACTAGGTATAAATACTGGTTCCACTGTGAGCAGCCCCACAAACTGCCCAAGCCACTCAAATGTCATCCACATTCAGAGGGCCTAGTGCAGTTTTACGCAGGTTTCTCAGCTGTCAGCTGTCATTCCTGAGTTGTAGGGGAAGCTGTAGCCACGCCTTCTTAGGGGCTGGCTACAAGAGTACCTGAGGGCTTGTGAGGGCGTGGTCAGAGTGAGTAGGGGGGACTGCGTTTTCGGTTTCGGTTTCTCTTTGCTTCTTGCTGTACAGACTACCACCGGCGTGGCTACAGCTTCCCCTACACTGAGTCAGTCAGGGCCCATTGGGCAGATGCACTTTTAAGGGTACTTTGCTTAAAGAGTATGTGGGGGCATTCCTTCTCTGTCTAGATAGAACAGAGACTAGTGAAAACAGAAGAACATTCTTTTCCTTGTTTTGTTTTGTTTTTCCAGACAGTGTTTCTTTGTGTTAATTGTCCTGGAACTTGCTTTGTAGACCAGACTGGCCTTGAACTCTTAGAGATCTGCCTGCTTCTGCCTTCCAAGTGCTGGAATTAAAGCCATGTATGACCCCCACCATACCACCTGGCTGGCTGGCAGTGAGCATTCAGAAGCGCCCAGGGAACTGTCTAAAACGGGATGTTGGACTTTTCCTCCTAGAGGGATACATTCTGGGCTGCATTTGGGTTACTCTAGGAGGCAAGAGAGTTTGGAAAGAAGCTGAAAAGTGTTTCCGGGACTTTAAAGCCTCCAAAGAGACCCAAAGAATAGGCTGGAACTTCTGCTGCAGGGGTGGGACAAGGGGTTGACATAAGGGCAGGTTATTCCACCTCTGGGCAGAACAGACAGTTTTCCCTGTTGATCAAGAAGACATCATAGGGACTGCCCGATACCTGGAATAAATGCAGGCAGGTCCACTTTCCTCCACATTGACCCCTGCCTACCAACTGCAGTAGGAGGGAGGACAGATAATCTGAGTTGGATCAGAAATTAAAGTTTAATTTGGACGGAACAGAAATGTTCCACAGTTAAAAGTGAGAGTCTTCTTACATTCGAGAGTCACACCGCACAGGAAGGATGGGTCTGAAACACCATCCAGGAGTTTTAAAAGGGAGATCTGCTTGTTATAAGGTAGATGGAGAGAAGAAAAACAGGGTAGTGTCTGCACAGATTCAGCATGTCTAACAAACCAGTTATAGTTTGCTTTAATAAACTAAGCTGTGGTACCAGCTCTACCTATACTTGTCTTCCCTAAATCTGTTTAGTCTGCACCTGAATCAAACAATACCTCATAATCCATCCATCAGTTCTTGGACCCCAGACTGATAGCTGGGAAACCAGCATGGGACTGATCCAGATCCCCTGAATGTGGATGCCAGTGAGGAGACCTTGGAAATCTATGGGGCTCCTTGTAGTGGATCAGTACTTATCCCTAGCATAGGAATGGACTCTGGGAGCCCATTCCACATGGAGGGATACACTCAGCCTAGACACACAAGGGGGTTGGCCTAGGCCCTAACCCAAAGGATATGACAGACTCTGAAGACCCCCTTTGGAAGGTCTCACCCTCCCTGGGGAGCAGAAAGGGTGTGGGATATGTAGTGTATTAGTTGGGGGGGGGGCAGGGGAGGAGGGGAGGAAGAGGGACCTGGGATTAACATGTAAAATAATCTTTCTAATTTAAAAATAAATAAATAAATAAATAAATAAATAAATAAATAAATAATCCACCCATCAGCGTACAGGAATGTTTGAAGGTGGAAGAACGTGCTAATGATCCCAATCCAGACTGTGAGACATTCCACAGAGACACAACTCTACTTCTTCAAAATTATGAGGCTTGTTATGAAGTTAATTCATGATTCCAGATTTAAAAAATAAAAGGGAGAGAATGAGCAAAGGAAAAGTGCTGTTCCTTCTTCCAAAAGTGCCATTCTATTCCTGTGATGACATATCCAACAAAACCAATTTATTTGGCTCATGGTTTGAGAAGGGATTATGGTCCATCATATCCGGGAATGGATGGCAATAGCTCTAGGCAGCAATCACATTGTTGTATGTAGACAAGATACAAATATGCAAAGAACAACCTGGAAGTAGAGCCAGGGCTAGGTTCTAAACCAGTGGTTCTCAACCTTGCCAATGCTGTGACCCTTTAATACAGCTCCTCATGTTGTGGTGACCCCAACCATACAATTATTTTCATTGCTACTTTGTAACTCTAATTTTGCTACTGTCATGAATCATATGTAAATATGTAATATGCAGATGGTCTTAGGCAACCCTTGTAAAAGGGTCATTTGATCTCCAGGTGGTCAGACCCACAGGCTGAGAACCAATGTTCTAAACCCTCATGGGTCACCCCCTTGTGACCCACTTCCTCCCACAAGGCTACATTCCTTAAGGTTCCATAATCTTCCAAAGCAGTGCCACCCTCTGGGAAACAAGTGTTCAAGTATGGGAGTCTACTGGGGCTATTTTACTTTCAAGTCACAATTGATAAATTGAGAGACTTCTATGAACTCTATTTTGGGACATACACACCATTTATTTTTTATGTGAAAAACTCTAAAATGATACATTTGCAATAACCAAGGAAAGTTGACAGTCAAGTGTAACCCTTTAAGCCCAGCATTGGAGGCAAGCCTGGACCACATAGTGAGAGCTTGTCTCACACAATTAAAAGATGAAATTCATAAAAAGAAAAGTTGAAATTGAATTGAATATTAACTATATTAAGGAACTGTTTATTTTAGGAGCATGATGTTACTATTGTCCTGTTTAAATTTGTATTAGAGACACATTGGCTTTTTTTTTTTTAATTTATAACTAATAAAATCCATCTGGCAAAAAAAGAAAAGCTCCAGGACAAAAATATTATAAATTTCAGGAAAGAATTAATGAAAATAAAATAGCAAAATATAAATAATTACTGAAGTAGGGCTGTAGGTATGTGAGTTTTCATTTTATAATTTTTCTATTTTTCGATGTGAAATTTTCACAATAAAAAGTTAAAGATGCATGGAAATGGAGAAAGCTGTTCAGAAACTAGATATCTTTATTTACTTTTTAAGAGGGTCAAGTATGATTCGGTATGATGATGTCAGACAGAATGCTGTCTTCACCATTTGCCATTTAGGTAGCCCTAGGGAACTCTCTCAATTCCATGTCTGAACTAGTAATATGAACGGTTTCTACTGTTACAAAGAGGAATTCATGAGACAGGCAGAGACACTCAGCAAGGCCTGTGGCTCTAATAAGTGAGATGGCCTATTTGAATCCAACTTTCTTCTTTTGTTGTTTCCATTTCAAGTAATTATTTTTATGTTAGTTTGCCTTATGCTAAGTTTGAAATCTATAATTCAGAAATGAAAATATACTGTATTAAGAATATTACCATTTTGCCTAGCCTATATTTTAGAGCTCTTTCTCATATTTGCATGCATTTATCTTTTGTCTTTTCATAGTCCTTTAAATACACTGAATTTTTTCCTATTCCTGGAACAGCAAATATACCAGCTTTTCCTATGAACATAGTTCAATAATATATGATTAAGATAAAAAATCTCATTTTTTTAGGCTTTCACCATTTGAAAATAGCTGATATCAATTTAACGTGTCATAAAACAATGTACAAATGGTCACTGTATCTTCTGTTGCCTATTCTTCTCAGTCTTAATTCTCATTTTGGTTTGCTATATGGCCCAGTTTGATGGTTTGAATGAAGTATCCCACTTATTCTCAGGCATTTGAATACTTGGTCTCTAGTTGGTAGAGACCAAACCAAGGTCTCTGGGTAGGTTTAGGAGGTATGGCCTTGCTGGAGGAAGTATGTCACTGGGAATAGGCTCTGAAGATTAAAAAACTCTGGCCATTCCCAGTTAACTCTCTTGGTGTCTTGCTTGTGGCTCAAGATATGAAATCTTAGCTTGTTATTCCTGCCACCATGGCTGCCAGTTGCCATGCCTCCCCATCTCTACTGTGATGGTGACAGACTCCTATCCCTCTGGAACTGTAAGTCCAAATAAAGCCTTCTGAAGTTTCCTTGGTCATAGTGTTTTACTACAGCAATAGAAAAGTAATACACCCAGGTTGCTCTCAAATACTATCTTTTCCATAGCTTAGGCTTAATGTATTTATTTACTTGTTGATTTGGGGTTTCTGAGACAGGGTTTTTCTATGTAGCCCTGCCTTTCCTGGAAAACTCTATGTAAACCAGGCTGCCCTAGAACCTACAGAGATCTTCCTGCCGCTGCCTTCCGAGTGCTGGGATTAAAGGCATTTAGCATCATGCCCTGCCCCCACTCTTTTTGAGACATAGTCCCATGTAGCTCAGGCTGGCTTAAACTATTTAGGTAGCAGAGAAAGACCTTGAACTTCTGGTCCTTCTGCTTCCACCTTCCAAGTGTTGGGATTATAGGCTTGAGTCTATATGCTGGGTTAATTTAAGGCATTTTAATTGCAAACTTAAAACAGAAACAATAGCACAAAAGGTAATATTTAAAAATGTGTGTGCATATAGAAAACCCCTGAGTTATAGTGAGTGGCGGGATTTACCATATTGAGACAGTTGATATTTCTTTCTTGGGTTCCTGTCTTGCACTAAAAATGGAGTGGACAGACAGTAAAAGAAAAACAAAGGGAACCTTTTTCCCACGTGGGAGAAATTGTAATGGGAAAGCACAAACTTTAACAGGAAAGTAGAAATGGGCATCAACTGACTGAGAGACGGGGAGTGCTACAGACCTACATTCTTGGTAGACTTCGGGTTGCCTACATAAGGGACCATCAAGAGGTGTTACAGCTCTGTGCTCTCAGGATGCTCAGCAGAGGCCACTGCAGAGCAACTCTGTAGATAGCAACTCACCAATAAAGGCAGGGAATGGGTGGTGGTGGGGTATCTCCTGTGCTGGCAGGTCTCAAAGGCCAAGGCAGGAATGTGAATAAGGAAGCTGGGACAGCCATCCTTTGAGGCCTAGGTAAATTCTCTGCCTGGAAGGAAGCAGTGTCTCCTGGGGCAGGAGCTATGGGCACTAGAGGGAATTCCCCTGCTGGTGGACGGTGTCCAGCGGGCTTGTCTTTGGTGGGTCTCAGGAGCAGTATTCTTTCTCCTAGGAACACCTGGAGCTGACCTGGCCAGAGCTAGGCGCTAGCTGGGAGCACCATTCTGTCCAGGAGGCTGATTGAAATCTTCAAGCATCTTTTTCCAAAGACACAAGGAGCATCAGGAAGACCCTGAAAATGAGGAGGGGAACCATTCTTTTGTTTGAGGCCTTTTCTCTTTCTGCAATGTTCTTTTCAGGATGTAGTCAAATTATCTCTAATGATTTCCAGATGGTTTGCATAGAAACATTTTTTTCCCTAAAGCCATACAATAACCTTCGTAGAGTAGGTCAAGTGCCCTGCCATGCTGTAAAACCACATCAGCTAATGATTCCACCCATTCTTCCAACTTGTTAATAGATTTTCAAACATAAAGTCCTAGGTTTTGAGCTAATGTCAGCCATCACTGAACCTGTGGTACCAAGAGTAGCCCCTGCTACTCCTAAGCATATTAGGAGAGGTATGGGGGAGGGGGCTGCATGTTTCTTTCTGAATGGGGAGGTTGGAAGGGTTTGTGAATACAAATGGTGTCTTCCTCTTGGACCATCATAAACACACATCCAGGGAAACAAGGATACCAGGGTTTTATACATATGCCATATAGATAAGCAAGGAAACAGCCAAGTAGCACATGCAAGCCAAAAAATTTCTTCTGGGCAGTAAAGTAGTTCCTGGGAGGTTTGAAACCTTGATGGTGGATCTAGACATACCATAGCTCTTTGAATAAAAGCAGGTCCTTTCAGTGTGGATCCAATCTAAGTCAAGGGATTTGATAGTTGAGTGAACTAGTCTGCACAGGCAATTTGCCCAGTCTGAGGGAATGATGGAGGCTGGGTCCTGGAGGTGGTGGTGGGGTGGAGTGGGGGGTGGGGTGGAGAATATAGAACCAGCAGCCAAGTGTAATATTTGGGTTAGTAGTATTTATTCGTTGCTATACCAATCCTATCATGGTCACTAGGGATTCTAGGGAGGTCAGAAGAGTAGGTTTAGTAGAAGGGGGAGAGAAAGTGCTGTGGTTGGAAGTTGCTTGAATTGGTGAGCTCTGCTGCTGGGACAGGGGCAGGAGAAATGGCAGCAGTGGTAGAAAGCAGGTCTGGGGCAGGAGAGTGCTGGCAGGTGGAATTGTGAGTGAGATGGGCTGGGGAGGAAAAGGCTCAAATACCAAGTGGTCTCAGGCCTCTTTCCTGTGGGTAGGATCAAAGAAAGGCATATGTTTAGAAGCTTCTAAAGACCAGTATTTTGGATCCCACCAGAGGCATCAATCTAACCCCATCTAAAGGAAGCACCAATGACCCATTTCCCATCTGTTGTCC